GTATGGATCACTTGGGTTGTTACCGACATCTGGTGAAAATTTCATGTCATTAGCACCTCTAGTAATATATTTACTGAGAAAAATGGTGACGTGTTCAAACTTATTTTACCTGCTGTATATTTACCTTTCGATTTATAAATGTCCTATTTAAACTGTTGCTTAAATAGTTTTAACAACTGGCTCTTGTATATAAATGTCATGATATATTGTTATGTATGGATGTATTATAAGGCTCAGTGTTTTATTTCTGCACCACAGCGAGTCAAGCAGCGGCTCGGGCCCGGGGCCGTTCAGGTCAGCAGTCGGCTGCAGCCTCCAGCATCTCTGGGATGAGTCTGCAGGAAGCTCAGCAAATCCTCAACATCTCCACACTCAGTCCTGAAGAGATTCAGAAGGTGGAAACTCCTTGTGCTCCTCCCAGAAACTGTTAAATTAATGTGGAATTAGCTTGAGCCACAGTGTATTATTTGCTGAATTTGGGATCAGCAGTTCAAAACAGGCATGGCAGCAAATCCAGACCAAACTGACTGCATACATTTTTTTTCTACATCCTTACAGTGTTAACAGTACTAGTTGTTAATGTGAATCTTTGTTGTGATAAAGCTCAAACGTTCTCAATCGAACACTAACACGGTAATGTTTGTCTCCTGCAGAACTACGATCACCTTTTTAAAGTCAATGACAAAGCGGTGGGCGGCTCATTTTACCTACAATCAAAAGTAAGTATTTTTATTTTCAAACACAAGATTCTTGATTGTTTTTTGCACAGGCTTAAAAAGACTAGTCATTTATAATTCTGGTGTAGTGTGGATATTTATTGCACAAATAAGAGAGTATCGTTCAAACGTAAGTAGATTTTTTTAAGTAGTAGTGATATAATCAATTTTTATGACCCCTAATATGATGTAAATAGTGTTTAAGATTAACCCAACACTGAAGTATAAGTAAAACCAGTATTGCAGAGATGTTTTATCACAATATAACAATTTTCCTAACTTGTTACCAGTACCAAATAAAATACTGATCAATGCAGTGGAAAGAAATGTGATGAATTAGGAAACATGCAACTATTAAGACTTCTCCAGATTGTATTTCCTCTCGTATTTATGCAACAAGTGCAGCAGTAAATATTGCACTGTGTTGCAATATGTGATTATTTTTAGAAAACACTTTGCGTTGTTTCACATCTGTTTGCCTTATTTGTGCAGTGTTAAAACAGTCTCTTCCTCTTGTTAAATGTCACAATGCTTTAAGCCACTGTTTTGGTGTCAAGAATGACTAAAATCATTCTAAAAGTTACACTGAAGCCCTGCTGTGTAACTCGTAAAAATAGTGTTGCTGTTTTAAGGAAGTAACGTAACTGTAGAGATGTGCTAAAAGCATTTCTAATCTGAACATGCATGCACCAAAAACATAAGTACAAAAATACACGTTAAATGCCAGATTCTGCCTTAATGTATCAAATCATGACTAATGACTTCCAGCATATATATATA